AATAAAATCTTTAAAAACTAACAAGTACTTTACCAGGTATTTTCAATTTTATAAAACAAGGTATTAACATAAAATGCAAAATGCTGACACTTTTACGTGCAGAATGACAATAGAATTATTCTATGCAATAAAAAAAGGAATATTGAAAAAAATCAAGTTAACTGTAATGTGACTTTCTAAAACTATATGTATAGCTTTTAGAAAGTGACATTACAATTAACTTGAATTTTTCAAATATTTCTTTTTTTATTGAAACATGTGTTTAAACAAATAAAAGTACCTTACATTCGCTTTAAAAGCTTATTTTTATCATTTATTTTTGTCAAGATATTCAACGTAGTAATTTCTTCACTTTTTACATATTATACACTAGTCCAAAAAATTAAAGGATTATCTAAGGATTAAAGGATCTGTTCTATCCTATAAAAATAGGCAAATTTTAAGATAGAGCAACTTCGTCAAAAATCATCGTAACGAGATTTTTAAAAAAGCATTTTACAGCTTAAAATCTCCACTTTTCAAGTTGATATTTTAGAAAACGATTAACTAACTTTCTTCGGAGTTGCATTGATACAAATGGAGATGTGACAAATCACAAAATTTTTTAAAAATGCAACTTTGCAAAGTTCTATGGCCCGAAATAAAAATTGTACACAAATGCGGTGTACAGTTTTTCAAAGAATGAATCTTTTTTTCACCGAGTTATTCAACATCTAAGCAAAAAGAGTCATTTTTGCTTCAATGTTGCCTGTTGAATAACTCGGTGAAAAAAATCGTACATCGCTCAACAAAAAAGCAAATTAAAGAAAAAAATTCATTCTTTCGAAAGCTGTACACCTCGTTAGTGTGCTATTTTTATCCCACGCCATGGAACTTTACAAAATTTGAGAAAAATTTTACAATTTGTCACACCTTCATTTGTATCTATGCGGCTCCGAAGAAACTCAGTTGTTTTTTTAATATTATTTTGAAAAGCAAAGATTTCAAGCTGTAAAATGTTTTTTTTTAAATCTCGTTACGATAATTTTTGACGAAGTTGCTCCATCTTAAAATTTACCTATTTTTAGAGGATAGAACAGGTGATCCTTCAATTTTTTAGACCAGTATATAAACATGTTAGGATTATATCCTTATACTAATTGCCATTGGACGACTGTAGCGCCACGCGTTGCATCTCTTACGAACGTTCCCCCGGAAACGACACTCTTACTTCTCATGTATTTCATGTCCTTCTACGTATAGTCGTCTGAGTAACACGCGCATTCAGTTTGAGCTTTACAATAAATGCTATAACCGAATATATATACTCGTATTCTCTGCCTCTGATACCTTAACAGGTTATGGGCCCAGAGTAAAGAATAGCCTGATTATCCGACTACTGATTGTTAAGTGATTTCCCGGAATAATAACGACACGAGAAATCATCACGGAAGACACGCGGAAGTGTAACGCCATTACGCGACATCATGGACGGTCAAGCAACAAACATAATACGCATACCGATGCTAACCAGGGAAAACTACGATACCTGGAGACTGAGAATACAAGCATCAATGACCAAGAATAAAACGTGGGCTTACGCAAGTGGAGAAAAACCCGCACCGCAGGAAGTCGAAGCATTACGTACATGGAAGGAAGAGGACGGAAAGGCGAAGGCCGATTTATATCTCGCAGTTGGTGACGTAGAATTAAGGCAAATCCGACACTGCTCAACGGCACACGAAATATGGCAAAAACTAGAATCGATATTCGAATCCAAAGGACCCGCAAAGAAGGCATCGCTATGGAAACGACTAATGAATCATTGACTTAGCGAAACCGGCGACGTACAAAAACATGTCGACGAATTTTTCGACATAGTCGACAAGCTAGCAGAATTGTCCGTCCAGGTCAGTATCGAATTACAATCTATTATGTTGCTACATAGTCTGCCAGATAGTTTTGAGAATTTTAGGTGCGCAATCGAATCGAGAGACGAATTGCCCACCCCGGAACACTTAAAAATTAAAATTCTCGACGAAAACACAACAAGAAAACAACGGAATCAAGTCGACGACCAGGCTATGTTCGCTCGAAAAGGAAAACTAAACAAGAAAAGGATCAACAGTAAGGCAATAAATAAATCGGCCGATAAAACAGAAGATTCCGACTTCACATTCAAGTTTAGGTGTCACCGGTGCCGAAAAATCGGTCATAAAGCCATAGATTGTTCGGAAAAATACGAACGAAGCACGAAGCACCGTGAAAATAAAGAAAAGGCTGCCATCGGTGAGGATATGTCTTTCTTAACCTCAATCGCTAACAATACTTCATGTTCGGCAGGAAATGTTCAGAAGGACGACGGCTGGTGTATCGATAGTGGATGTACATCACACTTGTGCAGCGACGAGAAAAGATTCGAAGAGATCTCAAAATCCGAGAATACCAAACTCAATCTGGCGAACCACGACTCTACCGATATAAAAGCAAGAGGTACGATACGGATAAGTGCTACAGACGGAAACGCGACCAGACACGTGCGTCTGGAAAACGCATTACATGTACCCGATCTACGGAGCAACCTAATATCGGTTGCAAAGATCACAGATGCTGGAAATCGTGTCATATTCGAAAAGAAAAAAGCTGTAGTAGAAAACAACGAAGGCGAAAAGGTATTAATTGCGGATCGAAAGGGAAACTTATATTTTCTTCGCGAACCCAGGGAGACAGCCTGCACGACCTCGACCGCGACACACAAATCTGCGATGACCATATGGCACGAGAGATTTGGACACCTTAATTGGAGCGATCTATTGGAAATGAGCAGAAAAGAGGCAGTATCCGGGCTTCATTTGCGAAACGACAAGACAATGAACTCATGCGAAATCTGCTCAGAAGCTAAACTTACGGCATTACCATTTGGAAAACAATCGCAAAGAAGCAAACAACCGTTAGAAATTGTCCACACCGATATATGTGGCCCGATGCGAAACGAGTCGAGAGGGAAAGCTAGATACATTCTCACCTTCATTGATGATTATTCTCGTTGGACGGAGTTACGCTTTCTACGCAAAAAGAGTGAGGCCTTACAAACATTCAAGGAATACAAGGTCCTCATAGAGAAACAGACCGGACTCAAAATCAAGACCTTAAAATCGGATAACGGACGAGAGTTTTGCAACGAAGAATTCGATAGATTTTTGAAGAAGGAAGGAATCGCGCGAAAAACTCACCACTCCATACACACCTCAATTAAACGGGGTGGCGGAAAGGAAAAATCGTACACTCATGGAAATTGGCGCGATGCCTGATGGGCACAATCAAAACTGCCTATTTCTTTCTGGGCAGAAGCAGTAGCCACAGCAAACTACATCAGGAACAGGTGCATCACGAACACGTTACCAAACAAAACACCTTTTGAATTATGGCATGGAGAACGTCCAAACGTGGAGCATATACGGATTTTCGGCGAACTGGGATTCGCACTTGACAAGACACCCGGGAAAGGAAAACTCGACCCACGAGGAATAAGATGCAACTTTCTCGGATATGATGAATCGACTGGAGGCTATCGAGTATGGATCCCGAACAAACAAAGAGTAATCATTACACGCGACGCAAGATTTCTAAATGTTTTCAAATCCGCGGAAGAACCCGAAAATCACGCACCCACAAAATCGCCAGATCAAGAGCCTATCGACAAGTTAAATGAAAAGCCTAGTCACTACGATTTTCACATGGATCCCGAAAGCGACGACGAATCAGAAGACGGAAAACAACAACAAATTCTGACTGAGGGAAATCAGGAACACAATATTATCACTGATACAGCCAGAAGGGGACCAGGCAGGCCTACAAAAATCCTCACAGGAAAACGAGGTCGCCCACGAAAATTATATCCGCTATTACAAGAAAGAAACGAACTTCCCGAATCCAGCAAAGAGAAAGAGATCGACGGCACTTCACGTCAAGAGGAATCAGGTAACTCGAATACACCGGAAGTAAACTTGGCAAGTCTTTCATCGGAAATTCCTTGCCAGCAAGCATTAAATGGACCGAACAAGGAAGAATGGGAGAACGCAATTCTTAAAGAAGTCCAAAGTCTCATAAAAAATGACACATGGCGGATTGTCAACCGACCCAAGAATCAACACGTCATTGGATGCAGAATGGTTCTAAGAAACAAATACAACGCGGATGGACAAATTGAAAGGAGAAAGGCGCGACTCGTTGCGAGAGGTTTCGCACAACGTCCCGGGATCGATTATCACGAATCTTTTGCCCCTGTCGCTCGTCTTGGATCTATGCGCCTATTGCTCGCCCTCGCGATCCAACATGATTTGAAAATACACCAGTTGGACATCACAACCGCTTACTTGAATGGCAACATTGAAGAAGAAATCTTCATGGAATTACCGGAGCAACTTACAGGAAGCTTGAGAAAAATTATTTCCAAAAATGGGATCAAGACCGATATAGGAAATCGAGCAAGTAAGATGCTAGAACAGATCCAGGACAGCGGGGACAAAGTTTGTCGCCTAAAAAAGGCCCTATACGGCCTGAAACAAGCTGGTTATCAATGGCATAAGAGACTGGACGGTAAGCTCAAATCCATGGGTTTAACAGCAACTAACGCAGACCCATGCGTCTACCACATTGAACGAGGGGGAGATCCTCTGCTAATTCTAGTCTACGTAGACGACATTTTGATATTTTATCGTAAAGAAAAAGATTTAAACTTTATTCGTAAAGATTTGTTACAGGAATTCGAAGTAAAAGATTTAGGAACCGCGAGTCACTGCTTGGGAATCGAAATTACCAGAAGTGACGACAATATCACTATATCCCAGTCGAACTACATCCGGGAACTCCTTTCACGATTTGGAATGGAGCACTGCAACCCCGTCG